ACAGTAAACTATTTTAAAAAATAACAATGAGAAGGTAGCTGTAAGATACTAAATTAGAACTAATTCTTCTAAAAATTAAGAGAATGTTATCAGAAAATAAATATCAACTAACAGAATTAAGTATAAAGTTCTAAAAATGATGTGATCACAAAACATTTAGTCTATCATTAAGACATATTTTCTAAATGTTGAGGAGAAAACAATGATTCAATAAATGGTGCAAGAAAATTGGGGGTTGGTTATGCTTAGATTCTTATGGTATATAAAGTTTAGATGCAATAAAAAATTAAGGAAAGAATGGAAGGAAGAGAAATATTTAGAAGCAAATGCACATGAATATGTATATAATACAAAAGAGAAGGGAAGGTAAAATCTTCAGTGAATGAAGAGAAAATGAACTCATAGTTCTCTGAACAGTCAAGCTATTAAGACACCTAGACCTTATCATGTAATTTCAGAAAGTTTATTCTACAGTTTTTACCTACCGTGTGATTTTTTCACAAACATACAAGTTGCTTACTTAGTCTTAAGGCATCAGTAGAGTTAAAGGTCTGGAGCTAAAAATATGAGATGAGTCTAAAATATCCTCCCCTACCAAAAAACAACAGAGCTCTCAAAGAATATCAGCATCAAGGACTGTATCCAAAGAATTCAGGAGCCAATCTGAAGGGATTCCTGATGCCAAAGATGAGATTAATTGAGCTTGTGCATCAATAAAAATTATTGTGATAATAAATTGCAATGCATCATACATAGTTCACTTCATGGTATCATTATAACGTTGAAGAAAATTAAATATAAGTGATTTTTTGATTTTTTTATGTCACTAATAGACAATGCCAGGGAAGCAACTCACAATTTTGAAAATGGCTATATATAAAAATTAGAATTCATTCTACCTTTTCTATACAAATTTTATCTCAGGGTAATCAAGTAGCTCCAAGCAGTTCAGGAGAAGTTTCTCTACTGTGAAGTATCCCAACAAATAAATAAAGAAGAAATGACTGAATTAGAATATTACCATACTAAATGAATCATAGAAACTATCACCAAAGGCTGTTAACATTCCCCTAAAAGATGTGCTTTCTGATAGGAGTATATAACACTAGTCATGAAGTATTCTTCTGCAATATTTTTCCAAGTATTCATAACAGAAGAATATGGAAACTATAGCATGAAGATACAGTGAACAAAATCCTGATTATGTGAGACTCTATATAACAAATAATCTGGGCTTTAAAAAAAATAAATTGTGCTCTACACTGGAATTTTACACAACATTGTATAATGACATTACTCAATTAAAAAAGTTAAAAAAAAAAAAGCAACCGACCAACTAACCAACCAACCAAACAACAATAAAAATGTTTATGCAATATTAAATCAATCAACCAACCAATCAATCAATTGTGAGAAAAAAAGAGATGGAGAGTCTTAACTATAATGGATAGAGTTTCTTTCGATCCTTAATTGAAGAAATTATATAAAACACATTTCATTCAGGAAGTTTTGAATACTTACTGATTATTTGATTATGTGGATTATTTGTTTGATAATAGTTATATAGAGGTTTGTTATTTTATTTTCTCTATTTTACTATGTTTGAAATTTTCCATAATAAAAGTTTAAAAGATGATGCTGTTTTAAAATAATAATGATTTGTACTAAAACTAAAAAAGGCAAAGTAAAAGAGGTCCTATGATTATTTAAATTTCATCTAAGTTACTTCAGTTACTCAATTTTAAAATTTTGAAACAAGTAATAAAAGACTAATTCTCTAACAGAACTATCATCCACTAAAAACCAGTAACAGTGAATCCATGAATAAGCACAGCTCCCCACTGGGCTGATAGAAACAAAAGTGGAAACAGATCATAGAACTAATACAAATACTTAAAAACTTAATGAAAGTACACATGAATAAAACATCTGTAAAAGATTTTCTCCTCTGCTACAAATCGATATTTCAAAGGACCATTTGGGACATAAGCTGATTGAATCTAAGAAAAAACCAATGCACCTTTACCAGTTTCTTTATTATGATAAGAAAGGTAAAGTAGCTACTACTGGACCATTGCTTAAAAGCTAGTGTTAGATTGTGTGAATATGATTTAATCTACATCTCAACTTGTTGACATGTTTTGTTTAAAGCTGATTTTATACTATCAAATCTTAATAAAAATAGCCTTCTCACTTACTCTAGATTACTGGTTATCAACCAGGGTGGATTTTGTGCCCTCTTCTCCCTGAGGATATCTGGCAACATCTGGAGATATTTTTTGTTCTTATAAATGGAGTAGCGCTATTGGAATTTGGCTGTTAGAGGCCAGGGATACTGTTTAACATCCCCTAATGCATATGATAGCCCCTCCTACAAAATATCATTCAATTCAAACATCAGTGGCAACTTGGTTTAGAAATCATGTATTTTTCAGGGCTAGTTCATGACTTTTCTCAATTACAAACGAAAATTTTATTTTCTATGCATTCAAATGACTGTCAGAAATAATTTTTTCCACAGTGGGATCACTTACCCCTTGAAATGTTTGTTTTTTCTTTCTGATTTAAGAATATAAAAGATGTTTATACATATTAGATTTGTTTTTTAACTGTGCTTTTATTAGATTACAGTTACAGTGAATTGACATATATCAGACTTAAGGTCACAACTGTTATTATATTTGCCCTGATATTTGAAGAGGCAAACAAAAATTGTTTGAAGAGGTAAGATATGCTGACTGATACACATAATAGAAAGCACTTCCTTGTATCATAGCTTCAATTCACTGTGAATATAATTGAAAAGTGCAGTGTGTAAAGTACAGTATGGTAGAATAACACACTTCTTAACAGAGACGTTTCATTAATGGTATTACTATGCAGTAACACCATTATCAGTTCTTCAGAAATAAGAGAAATTTTTGAGAAGTATATTATTAAAGAGACTACATAAGTCTACAATAAGGACAATTTTTAAGAGAATATTTCTCTTTAAGGTCAAACAGTTGGCCCTAGCTTTAAGTTCAGATCAGAGATACAATGTAATAGGAACATTAGGAAATAAATGTTTGTTGCTTTTATATCAAAAAGGCCGATATCTTCTGTACTAAGGTTTTTATTCTTAATCCAAAAGAAGAAATGATCTTTGTTATGTTTTGTAAACTTTGTGCTATGTATTTTCTTCTGAACCACAGTACATATTCCACTTCTAAAACTTTATTATCACAGACTTAATTTTTTATATTTTAAAATTCTGTTAGATAAAATATGCCAAGTCAAATCTGGAACTAGAATTGTCATATTTAACTTCAAAGAATATTTATAGCCAATTATTTGAATAGTGGTTGTTAAAGAAATAATAATGGAAACATCCTTGTGTTTTAAAGTGATAAATATATTTGAGAAAACAGACGTTTATGAAATATTCTTCAACAAGATGAAAGACTAGGAGACTTATTTTTAAACACTGTATTTTCTAGAGTTCCCATATTGTAGCTGCCTTGATATCCACAAGGAGTACAATTAAGTGTATCATATGACTTTAATTCTTAATTTGTTCCCAGAAATTAATTTTGGGTTGGATAGTTAATTTTTAATCCCTGATCCATATTATAGTGAGTCATTACTGTGTATTTAAGAAAGAAATCTAATCAGATGATATAGACTCTAAACAAAATGACATAGACATCTAAATACAAAATTCATCTTTACCAAATAATATATTTGTATAAAAGAGGAAAAGAAGATAAGAGAAATGAAGAATTTTAAAGACATTCTAATTAAATCAGCTACAAATCCCCAACTGCAGATAAGTGACTAATTAGACAGCTAAGATTAACGAAAAACTTCTCTTATGTGGGACTCATTATAAAGGATGAGTAACCACTGAGGATGCTTTAAGTTATTCTAATTTTTATTATCTCTAAATCTATTTAAAACCAATGGAAAATGATTCAAACCATAAAGTATTTTACATTTTCAGATTTTTATGTTTCTGAAGGTGCTCCTCAAAGTGAGAATTAATTATTTTATCCACCATCTGGAATTGCCACAAAAGACCTAAAACAAGACATGAATGTAGCTTCCAATGAGGAAAAAATAATTTTTAATGATTATCAATGAAAATGTTGATACAGAACTGAAAATTAAGATATGAACCAAATATCCAACATGGACTTAGAACTCAACTCACTTAATAACTGAATCAAATAACTATTGTTTTGGTTGCCAGGCTAAAGCATACTATCACTTACAGATTCATTCAGAGACTAGCAACAGAAGCCAGGAAGAACAGTGACTTAAAAAGATGGAAGTCTAAATGCCTCTCATATAAAGTGAGTTCTGAGGAAGGCTCTCCAGGGTAAGTCTGACAACTCCACTGTGTCATCAGAACCCAAGATCTTTTTATTTTTCTGCTTTACTGTCCTTAGCACTTGTTTTTTACCTTCAGGTTAGACTCATGTTCCAGAATATCTGGAGTTCCAGGTATCACACCTAAACTCAAGCAAAGAAGCAGGAGGATGGAAAGTAACAGTCAAAGGGGGCTGATGCTAAGTGTGTATCCCAGTCTAGAGGAGCATGCCTGGAAGTTCCTCTCTGTGTCTTTTGCTTACACCCATCTCATTGGCTAGTGATACCTACAAAGTAGTATATATAGTCTTTGCACAAAGAATCTTACTGATTTTTTTTTAATTAAAGAAGGTAATGGCTCTCTAGTAGTTAACTACCTGTATGTTTCTTTACTCTGAAAAGCACATCTTTCTTGGATGTACCTACCAAACATTCAGTAGCTCAAAGACTTCAAGTACCCATTATAATGTCTGAAAAAATTTTAAATTTTGGCTATTATTATTTGGTATAAAACGTCCAATAGGTTTGTACCCTCAAACTTAGGGAAGGCTATTAATGATAGAAATTGCTCTGGGAAGACTATTTTCTTATTCTTTTTGTCACTGAGAGGAACACAGTAAACTGTAAATTAAACATAGTAATTGTATTACCTTTACATCTCTGCTTCACTCAGTCACTAGATCCAGGCTTCCCGGGAAAGGACTGACCTCAGGAAGGCAGCTCTCTGAAGCTCAGGCAGACCCTGAAAGAGCAGGGAAATGCAAACTGCCTTCAGACTACACAATTCAGAGCTAGGCAGAAAATCTTTTTGTAAAGGGAGCAGGGCAGTGTATCTCCATGTCTGCCAAAATCTCTCTTTCCCAAATCAGATCTTCCAGGATTCTGGAGAGCTTCTTTTCCCAAGGAGAAACTCAGAAAATACAGCCAGGGGAACAAACTGTAACCACTGCCACTGTAGTCAGTACCACCTCTCTCTTCAGCCATCTGCTCTGTATCTCTGTCACTTTCAACTAGCATCTTTGCTGGACTTGATGGCTTATCCTAGTGATGAGACAGAGACTCATCCATGGAGGAACATGGATCCCTGGTTGCCATGCCATTCTCTGCCCAGCTTTTCTTTTCCTGTACATTTACAGTCACAACAGGGCAAAAGAGTACAAAGAGGGACTGAACTGGCTCAACCGGGTTTCTCACATATTCTTCCCTTCCTCGTACGTAACAACATCCCTACCTCAGTCCCATCATCCAGACTGAGATGCATCACCACATTTCAGCCTTTCCACTGAGAAAAGTTATGATTATTCTGGCCCAGATCCAATAAAGGGAGGCTAATCCATGGCCCTTAAGAGCAGATTTTGACTTAGAGAGGGATGAAAAAAAGGATGAGGGAGCAAGGGAAAGAGGAAGATACTTATCTTTTAGATTCAAACATCATCAGGGTGACGACACAAAATAACACTTAAGAATGGGACAGATCTAACTGTTTAGGATATTAAATGGTTGTATTTCAGAGACAAGGCAGAGATACCAATTAAAATGAGTTTACATAAAATAGGAAGTTGATGTGGGGAAGAAACATGCCATTAGGTTGAGAGGAATTTGTGTTAAGGTTCATTCACCTTGAATCTTAGAGAAAAATTCATGCACAGATCATCTGTTTTAAATGACAGCATGTATCTTAACTTTAGCTTCAGGATTATAGTTCTTATAGTATCTGGTCTAGCATGCTGCTTATTAATATCTGTTTCATGAACTGAATAGGAATGAACAGGAGGCATTCTTGAGTAAATTCCCTCACTCAAATTTTATTCACTTAGAATTCTCCTATAGTAAAGAATGTATTTCCACTTACAGAGATCAGCAAGTGAATATTCTGGAGCAGAGATTGCCAGAGTACAACAAACTAAACCAGACCCCAAATGATGGCCAATGATACTGGGGAGCCCTGTCACTCTCCCAGTTACACTGAGGCTCCATTTTGGCAGCTCATTAGGCAAAATCCGACGGGTAAAAATTCCTGCTCCAAGAAACCTGGACGCTATTCTGTATTTCCTAAAAGTACTTTGGACTCATTATTTCCAATATGCACAACATGAAAAATAATTAATCTTGCCCCAAACTGAGGCTGTATCTATATACCTGAGTCAAGTCCATCTCTGTTCCTTTCTCCTAAATACCTCTCCTCATGTTGATCTTTAGCTACAACCCTCTGAATCTCTGCCTTGGCCAGGGCAGTCAGCCCAATCATTTCTTCTTGGATTAGGCACTACCGAGCCATATCCACTCAAGAGACTGCTGGTAATTCTCAGCTTGCTTTTCTCAGCATCATTGAGCAAAGCTGTTCTTACAGGTTGGACAAACTTATCCACCTGAAAACATGAGGCTTTGGGTGGTAGGATAATCACATTTCTTCCTCTTTTGAGCTCATCACCTGATGTTTGGCAGCCCTCACTTTCATTCCAATTTCAGATTTAAAACCTTAAATGTTACTGTGTCATTAAATGCTGTGCACATCCTACCATCATAAATCTATTCCTGTTTTTAAATCTCAAATTAGGTATTAAACTGCTTTAAAGGAAACTTTGTGCAAGGCGAACATTTAGTAAGCACAAATTGAGAGATGAATAATTTAACTCATACATATAAAGATAAATCTCTAAAGTTCAGCCTTTTGTTTTCCCTGTTAGTCCTCAAACTAACCTGAATTGTTTCTGTAAAACTAATTTAAAGACCCATCTCATGGTATAAGACCATATTGATTTTCTTCACGTGAGTGTCAACACAAAGTGGAGGATTTCCACCAAGAGAGAAACAGAGTAATCACTGTAATTCATCCAGCGAAAATTTACACGTTGATTTAGAAAACGAGAAGACCTGAGTTCTAGTCCTAAGTCTGACTCTAACTCCCACATGTAAAGATGTGGCACATTCTTTAGTATTTATGGACTCCAAATTTCTCACCTATTAAATGAAAGGATTTAACAAAATCATTTCAAAAGTCTTTTCTGGATCTGAAATTATAGATTCTGTTCTATGAAACATTCTTGTATCAGATCATTAATACTTTACAATAATTTTCACTGGGCAATGATTCTTGCTAAGCAACTATTTGCATATCAGCAGGAGGATGTCCAGGATTCTATGGAATCAGAAATACTTTCTTCCCCACAATGTACAGGCAATTGCCTTTATAATTAGATGGTTTTCATGTTATTGCAAATAAAAGCATTAAAAACTCTAATTTTGAACTGTACCACATTCTTGTTACGTGTTAAAGAAATTAAGTATGAAGCTTTTAGAAGTTTATCCTCAGATGTCTTTCCACCTTTCTTGAATCAACCTTATGCTCACTTGGTAAGACTAATAAGCATATCTGGTTAGGGAAACATACATAGAA